TGCAGATGTGATATTAAGGCCAGAGGCACCAGTAACTTCTCTGAGGTTGCACACACTGGATGTCACAGGGGAGCCACGCACCTCACTCCTCTCTCTGTAAGCCTCAGATACCAGGCACATGCCTCATGTAACTGACTCTCCTCAACACCTCTGTTCACTCTAGGGAAACAGCAGAGACTCATTGGTAGACCTCTGACCACCATCATTCATCCCTCTGCCATTAGCAAACAAGCTCCTTGGATGATCTGAATGACCTCAAGAATTGGATGAGAAGGGAGATAAGGATCCTTCTTAGAGGGTGCCAGGCTCACATTAATCTTGCATATGTGTAAAGAGGGAACACACACACACACACACACACCCCTCTTCAGATGATTTGTGGCAAACTCAATGACAATGCTCCTGAGTGGTGTCCAGAATCCCTGCTATGTTGATGGTCCACTCATCCCCTAGAAATAGGTCCAGCTGCTACTGCTCAGAGTGGAACTGACTCAGAACTACTTCTCCCAGCACCTCCTCTAGGGCCACCTGCTCCTGCCTGCATGGGAAAGTAGTCCTCTAAGCAAGGTAGCCCCTTCCCATAAAGGTTTTGCTGCTCCAGGACCACATCCAGCAGCACTGGATACAGCTTTACCACCAGAGCAGGATTCAAGTGCTTGTACAAAAGACAGGACCTTGATAAGCCACTCTTCACTGTCCAGCAGGCTGCCAACCCCTCCCAGGATCTTTGTGCTGATTAGAGGAGGAACTGGTGTCACCGCATTGGGAGCTGGTATAGCAAAACTTGTCCCTTAGCATCCATCCCCGGAAGGATGATTGATAGGCTGGCAGAGCTACCCTGCTTGGTCTTTGACATTTCTGTCATCTGAAGGGCAAAGGAGACCCCTCTTCCAACCCTTTCCTTCCCATCTATGGACAACACATGGGGGTTACAGAGGTGCTTTCCAGCAGTGGGACCCAGAAGCTGGGGCTGTAGGGCAGCTCCCATCTGGCTCAGCCAGAGGAAATTGAGTCACAAAGGTGGGACAAGTTGAGCCTTCCATTGGTCAGAGACTGTGGGCAATAGGACCTAATGTATGTTCTTAATTCAACAGCTTCATTGCTTCTACCCTGGCCTGCTCCTTCTAGACACTTGGTGGTCACAGTGAAGGACACAGACAGGAGGTCAATTTTTCTGAGTGAGAGAGCTTGTCTGTGGTTGGCACTTGTTTCCTGGTAATGTCTAATAACCAGGACAGCAGCAACAAGACTGGACATGCCCCCATCACCTCCTCCCTCTTTGCCCTCCTCTCTTCTCTCTCTTCCTCTCCTGCCCCCCTTCCCACTGTGTGGGGAGTGCTATCCCCACACCCTGACCTGTCTGTCCCCCAGCCAGGAAGTAAGGTTCAATGGGCAGGACAACCTCCCCAAAGTCCCTTTCGCATCTAAATATTGAGGACCAAGTCTGCCCACAGAAATTACAGAGGTTCTGTCTGGCCGATTCTCACTCCACTCTTCCTGGAGAGTCAGGGCCCCCATGTTTGCCCTGGGCTGGCCACAATGGCAGCCACAATGCGGGCACTGAGGCTTGCTGGTCGTGCATACAAAGCACCCGGCTGGCCATTATCATTCCGGAGCCGAAATCTGCCCCAGCGTGCATCTCATCGGTCATTCAGCACCCTTAATGACTTGTCAGTCCCTTGCCCTGCCATTTTCTGTCTAATTAATTCTTTTATTGTGCACCGGATAAAGAAAGACAAAGGCCTCCCCAGCAATAAGGATTCATTAAAATGCAGCGCCTTCGCAGTTCTGGGCCCCATACCAGCCCAGCGCTCCGCCTGCTGTGGGCACGGTTGCCTGCACCCCTTAACCCTTGCAGAGTACCCTGGTGCCGGGTGCCCCCGAAGAATCCACACATGAGCCAGTCAGGGAACCTTTGAGGGAGGGTCTCCTGAGTGTTTCGTGCATTTCCATGGCGGAGTGCAGGTTGCGAATCCAAGGAGTCCCTTAGCCAGGCTGACCAACACAGGTTCGGCTGGCCTTCAGTTCCCACCCTAGGTTCATGGAGAAGAGGAAAAACTGGGGTGGGGGAAGGAAATTAAGTCTGTCCATACAGGCGTCAGGGCCCAGGGACAAGGGGCCTGAGATTTGACCCAGACAGGTAAGAAGATTCCCATCACATAGATCAGAGTGCTGACCAGCTTTGTTCATCCTCAGGGAGCCTCAGAGAGGCTGTTGCTGTGCCTGGGTAGGAGGAGATGAAGGCAAGAGAGGAGGACAACAGCAATGGGTGAGACCAAGACAATGTGAGAGACCATGAAATAGGAAAGACCAAGACAACAGGAGAGACAAAGGCAATGGGAGGACCAAGGCAGTGAGGAGAACCAAGACAGTGGGGATGAACCCAGGAAATGGGTGACCAAGGCAACAGGGAAACCAAGGCAATAGAAGGGATCAAGACAACGGGAGAGAAAATGGGAGAGACAATGGGAGAGGATCACGTCAATAAGGGGACCAAGGCAATGGGGTAGACCATGCAATGAGGGGAACCATGGCAATGGTGGAGACCATGGCAAGTGGGTGACCAAGGCACATGGCCACCTAAGGCGGGTATCTGGACACACAATGTTTTCCTGTTTCACTTAATTTTCTGATGTGCAGATGTTTCTTATTTTGCGGATGAGCAAAGAGAATCCTCATGTGGCTTGAGGTAATAACTCCACGATGTGTATCTGGCATAACCTAAGTGTGCATGGCCACGGGTAGGTCCTAATCTTACTGATCCCCCTGCACCACTGGGACGTAGGCAGATGTACCACCAGTGCACAGGAAGAACAGGCCAGCCATCTAGGTGTCGTGCCCAGCTGAGTCCTCTTCCCTCAGAGTGGTTCTTTGCCCAAGGGACTGGGGAGTGAGGGGGTGGCCTGTGTCTTTGTCTTGTAGCCCTCACTCGCTAAGGTAGGGCTGATGGGAGATTTGGAGACAGTGCTGGTTTTGCAGCCTGAAACAAGGGTCCTGGCCCAGGGTGGTTTGCTGTGGAGTCACCAAATCGTTTCCTACCTGGCCATCCACAGAGGAGTCCAGGTTAATGTTCCTTAACTAAGACCTAAGGCCATAGCAGGCCACACAGCCCTGAAACTGAGTTCCTGAGAGAAGCCCGAGGGCAAGGGTAGCTTCTCAGAGGACACAGGCCTATCTTAGGAGTGGATAGCTATGCCAAGCACAAAGTTATTCCAATAGAAGTCCTGCTCCTGGAGGCCAAAGCTGGGTGGGAAGACCAAAAGGGCTTTTCCAGTCTATCAGTGCCCAGGGTAATCATCAGCTCCATTTCCCCTTTCTGTTTAAACAGGGCCTTCTGTTCAGCCAAGGTCAGAGGCAGTGCTATCTGCTCTGGGTGAGGAAATAAAAAATGAGGAACTTTTCCTGCCAGCCTGTCCCTCCCTGGGATGGGCAGATGGTTGAGCACCCTCAGAGAGAGCTTCAACAGAGCTTGTACTTGGGGTAAGGCAGGCGAGGCCAGCCTGGGCAAAGTCACCAGTCAGGAGCTCTTGAGGGATGCTGGATACTAGACACTAGACACATCTTCTCCTGTAAAACCTGCACCAGCCAGTGGACCAGGGAAGTGACCCAGCTGCTGGGTATCCATGCCTGGTCACAACTTCAGTGCATGGCCTGGCATTTGGAGACTTCCAGGACATCTGATCTTGGGCTTACTCTCTGAGGACTGAGGGTGTCAAGGGGATAGCCATTAGTTGGGCAGTCCAGGAGACTGGGAAAGAGTGTCTTGCAAGAAGCGGGGTGCATCATTGTGACCATGCAGAGGTATGGACTGGCCAGGACACTGGTACCATTCTTCTTGAATCTCAGATACAGGAAGACCCCTGGGAGGCACACTGGGGCCAGGGCTGATCAGTGAGACAGCAGGGCCCGGACACCTAAGAGTTAATGCTCATGAGCCTGCCAATTTCAGACAAACTCTGCAAGGCCATCCAGCCCTTGGAAACCTGGCAAGCCCCAAAGTGAGTCCAGCACAGCAAAGGGGCCTTGCGGCTTTGTCAGTGAGCCGGATGCTCAGAGTTTTCCTTGGTCCAGTGTGTCAATGTGGGAGCTTTGAGGCCATATGGGCCTGGACAGCCCCTGTCTGGGCACAGGACAGACTGGGCTACTTGCATACAAGCAGCAGGCTGTGAAGGCTGTAGCTGTCTGTGAACCTGGCTTTCACAGTACCTCCCCAGGCTTGGCAGGCCTGGACGTGGAGAACTCTCCTATATCCAGGCAGCTCTTCCCAAATGCTGCTCTTGGCAGGGAGCGAGGTGAGGGGTGTGGCAGCCAGGAAGACGGGTGGGCTGGATGCCCCCTACCTAGCCACCCATTGCAGTGCCTCCCTCTCTGGATTCCCAGAGAAAGCCTAATCCTCCTCCTATCTCCAGGCCCAGGAAAGGCTGAGTTGTTGGGCAAGCCTGTCCCTATGAAGCCCCCACCAGCCACACGCATGGGGAGGCCTGGCAAGAGACCCACTGCCCCCACTTGCCACCACTCCCCACAACCGTCCTCTCCCTAGAAACTTTCCTCCCAGCAGACAATTCTACCCGGCTCCTGCAGGGCGGCTTTTATCCGCTCCCAGTCTGGCCCAGAGCCAGGGCCTAAAAAATGCCATGGGCCTGCAGCACTGAACAGCCACCCAGAGACAGCCCTGACTTGCCTGGGAGGGCAATGGCCAGGGGTAGTCCATCTGGACCCACTTTGCCTAATGAGCACCCCCCGCCCCCAGGAAGCCAGCGTGTTGGCTGAGGGCACTCGTGTCTAAACTCAGACCCGGTGCTCTACCGCCATCCTGGGATGAGGTGCTGCCCCACACAGATCCTTGGGGCATCTGTGTGGAGCTCTCCCAAGCCACACCACCCTCCTCACACTGATTGCTCAAAGGGGTCAAATCCACAGCAAAGCCTAATCTCTGCCTTGCCAGGAAACTCCACAAGGGTTGCCCAGGCTCGTAGAAAGCAATGCACAAAACACAGCCCTTGTAGATAAAAAGCATTTTCTTTTAATTTTATCAAATCGATCTGTACAAAAGTTAGCGCATTGCTTGATCAGAAAGTAGCGAAACGCAGCAGGCAAGTGACAGCAATAGTCTTCCCAAACTGGACACCAAAAAATAGATTGCATAAAAATGAGTTTGCTGCAGCTCCCACCCCCACCCCCAGAAAGAGATATGCAAAAAAAACAAAAAAAAACCACACACACACATTTTTTTCTCTAGAAAAAGGTAGGAAAAATAGAAAAAGTAAAAAGAAGCAACTTCTCAAATGTATTTAAATTTACAAAGTTTCAAAGGCACAAGTTTCCATGAAGTAGGCAATTATATGCTTAGCATACAGCAGAAGCAGGAGGCAAGTCACGTATTATTCTCTGAAACTAAGAACCTAAAGACATTTAGTGGAGAAGGTTTAGTTTCACAGCTTGGTAGGTGGCGCCTGGTGCCCAAGAGCCAAGATGATGGTGACTCTACCACTTGCAGGAAATTCCTGTCTTCTACCACTTGGCATATAGGTGGCTAGGAATGGGGTCCTGCCTTCCAGGCCCAACCTGACACTGGTGCCAGGCAGTCTATTCCCATCAGACACTGAAGGGCAGAGCATTCCCCTTCCAGCCCTCCCAAAGGCCAGCAATGAAAAGCTGAGCACTCACCCCTACTTCCCCTCCTGCCCCTCGAGCAAAGCTTCCCTGGCTTTTGTCTCTCTTAAATCCTACACTCTGCACAAATTACTTCATTAATTAAAGATAAAATAATACAGAACATAAATACATCTTTAACTGCTTTTAAAACAAACACATTTAAGTTTTAAAAATAAAAATTAAAAAAAAAAAAAACACCAAAAGAAAAGTGTTTGTCACAGCCAAACCTTGCCGAGAAGAACTCTGAGTTCAAGGAATACCTCAATCTCCCAGCTGGTTCCAGAGATGCCCGACTGGATGCAGCCTGAGGTCCATGGACATGCTGTTGCTGCGGGAACACCATCCCTTGGTCCCTTGGGTACTTGGCACTGGAGTTAGCCAGCACCTCAAAACATGGTCAGCCGAGGACCTCAGGCCCTTCCCTCCTTTGTCCTCTGCGCTGTGGTTGTCAACTCTCATCTACTAAGATGCAAAATGGAGGTGCTGGCCTCCGGGAAGGACTGAATGGCTGATCATTTTAGAATCACCAGTCACCAGACAGAAGAAACAACAGTGTCCATTGGTGAAAGCGTAGAGATCTAGAGGCAACGGGACATCCGGTGACAAAGCCTGGCTTCCCACAGACTTCAGCAGGCACTTGACACATGGCCACACTGGCTGCCTCCCCCTTGCTAGTACACACCTTCTGGGGGGCCCTGGAGACCTGGTCATCTTCTGCTGACACTGGCCCCCACACCCCCCAGAGTGCAGTGCCTCAGGGCCGGGTCAGGGTGGTGTACACGGGCTGGTCCCAGGTGCTGCTGGGGCTGTGGGCAGGCGGCATAGACAGACCATTGAGCAGTGGTGAGGCATAGGGCCGACGGGAGGAGTGAAAGTAGGGGTACTGGTAGAGGCCAGGCGGGTACCCGGGGTAGGGACCATAGTAGTTGGAGGCCTGCAGGTCAGTGTAGTCACACTGTGCACTGGCAAAAGAGCTGGCAGCCCCAGCGGGGGTGGCTGAGGTAACACTGGCCTGGGTACTGTAGGAGCTATAGTCAGAGCGACTGGGTGAGCCATGTGACTGGTCACTGTAGTGGCTGGGGCTCAGCTGCTCCGTCTTGATATGCGGCCTCAGGGGTCCTGCTTCAGTGGGTGATGCTGAGGCTGATGGGGTTCCCTTGTGGGCCCACACAGGGGATGCCCCGACACCAGCTGCCCCAGAGTGGGAGTAGGAGGCACCCCCATAGGAGCCAGGGGCAGCGGCCTGGCTGGGCTCTGTGGGCATGGCCGAGTGGCCATTGAGGGGTAGGTACTGGTCGAACTCATGGACGTCGAAGGCATCCATGCCGCTGATGACCTCACTGCTGAGCTCAGAGATGTCCACGTTGCTGAAGTCAATGTTCTGGCGCCCATTATCCACCAGGCGGCGCCCCTCCAGCTTCAGCTCCTGCTTGCCCCCAGTGGTGCCTGCGTGGTGCAGGTCAGTCTTTGGGGTGGTGGGTGGGGTGGGCGGCCCGTGGGTCTGGCCTGAGGACAGAGCACATTGCAGATATGAATGCCCCTTCTGTGGGGCCGGGTGGGGCTGCAGCCGACACCAGCAGCCCAGCTAACTGCCACAGGTAGGGATCAACGGCTTTTTGTTTCCTTACACTTCCCAGAAATTCCTGCAAAGTCAGACCCAGACCTCACTCCTTGGAGGAGAAAATTCCGTTAAGGGCTGTTCCATGAGAAGGTTTTTGGCCCCTCCCTGAAGGCCAAGGTTGGGGGAGGAAGGCAGCTGGCCCAATCCCACCAGATCTAGCTAGCATTAACCGGGTGCTGGTGGGGCACACACAACCAAGGTGAATGAATCCATACAAAAAAAGTCTGTGTTCCCTGCCATAGTTAAGCACATGGGCTCACAGGCTCCAGCCATCATGACCTGGTTGCTGGGACTCACCCCTCAGCCTGATTGCAGCTAGGGCTTCGGACCCCTCACTAGCAGCAGCTCACCCTGTGCCTGGGGATGTGAGTGTAGGTGAGTTTGGCTGAAAACATGCACCCCAGAATAGGAACTGAGCAAAGCAGTCCTATTCTCAGGCTCCCTTGTGCATCAGAAACAGCTGCAGTGGGGGATTTGAGGGCCTCTTCTGGGTACCCAGGAACATCTGGCTTTCTTGAGGGCGCCTACTCTGGAGTGAACCCCAACTCCCACAGCTCAGCCCTTCTGCTCCTTCCCCATGGGTCCTCCCAGACCAAGGGCCCTGGAACACACCCGTGTGGTCACCATGGTGGTGTGTGTCGCTGAGGCCCGTGTCTGCCTTATACATGGTACCGCTAGGATGGTGACCCAGCTCAGCCCCTGAGTCTGAGTCACTCTGACCAGTTTTCACACTCTTCCTCCGGCGTGGCTGGTACTTGTAGTCTGGATGGTCCTTCTTGTGCTGGACACGAAGCCGCTCAGCCTCCTCCACAAATGGGCGCTTCTCGCTCTCACTCAGCAAGCTGCAGGGGACAGCAGAGGTGGGGGTGGCCATGGTTCCCTGGCACTGCCCATGGTCCGGCCACCACTGGCATGTACACTACCCTGGTGGCTGGCTTGACATCAGATAATCAGGACTACAGCCCAGGGAGCTGGAGAGGACTAGCACACCCTCCACCAGGAAAAGCTGCAGCACATCCACGGGAGCCTCCTGGGCCCCAGGCGGGTGTACTCCATCCATGAGACTGACAGGCTGGACCCTGCAGGACCCATTAGGTGAGGTCTTTGTGCTTACTGTGGTCAAAGAATAAGACTCAAACTCCATCTTCCTCCTCTGTCCCTCCTCTTGTCCCGCTTTCCCAGCCTGTGTGTGTTCCTCCCAGTAGGGCTTTCTCAGGGAGGTGGGGAGGCGGGCAGCACCAGTCACTGGACCCTGGACAAAAGCACAGCTTCCTGGGAACTGTGCCGATGGACTGTGCTGAAGGATGCGGCTGGGCTTGCTGTCCTCCATTCTCAAGCTCCCAGAGGCAAAGGCAAAACCCAGGTGCCTGTCCTTAGAGCACACACACCCCTCCAGAGCGGTGGGGGTAGGGCTCAGCACTGTGTGTGGGCAGAAGGGGGAGTCTTGCCCAGTCCACAAAGCCGAAAAGAGCTATGTGCAGATCAAGGCAGAAGGTAGGAACGATGGAAGGCACACTCTGAGCGTCCATTAGCACAGTGCAGGGGAGGGGGGCTGCCCGAAATGCAAGTTCTGCATGGCTGCTGGCTGTTTTCTGAACACGCTGACCTCACTATGTAAAAGTGTGCACAAAGCCCCTGCCATACTCTCCTCACCCACTCTTTCCTTGCAGAGCTGGCCAGGGAGGGGGAGAGGTTGTGGGGACTGCATCAGCCCGAAGACCTTCTAGACTTTCCTCCCAGTGGGTGGTGGGAAGTCTCCGGCCCCTGCACTTTCTCAGGACTGGCCCCTCTAGAGCACAGATGATGTCTACCCCAGTGCCTTGCACGCTCCTGGGTAGGGCCCAGCCATGCACAGCTGGAGTCTCTCAGCAGAGCACCCCAGAAAGAGTGTGCTCCGGGACCCACACTTGCCCTCCACCCACCTGGAACCCCCGCACCCGGCACCTGGTACGGGCTGGCTAGAAGGGACGCACTCACCGCCACAGCTTGCCCAGTGTCTTGCTGAGCTCAGCGTTGTGCAGGTGCGGGTACTGGTCGGCCAGCTTACGGCGCGCCGCCTGCGCCCACACCATGAAGGCGTTCATGGGCCGCTTCACGTGTGGCTTGGCCTTTAGCGCGCCGCCGCCGCCTCCACGCACGGGCATCGGCACCAGGCTCCAGTCGTAGCCCTTGAGCACCTGCGACACTGCGTCGCGGATGCAGGCGGGAAAGCGCTCGTCCGCAGCCTCCGCCACGCCGCCGTGCCCACCGCCCCCGGTGCCTGCCGCGCAGCCCGGGCCCTCGGAACCAGCAGGCGACGGCGGCGCGTCCGAGTCCGAGTCTTCCACGTGCGACATGGAGCCAGCGGTGCCGGAAGGGCTGCAAGGCGGCTGGGCACGGGTCTCGCTCATGTCCAGCATGGGGCCGCGCGCCGGGGGTAGCGCCGGGCCGCGGGGGGCCGAGGTCGCCGCGCGTGCCAGGCCTTCTTTCCCCTTCTGCTGCCGCCGCCACCGCCGCCGCCCACCTAGCCTGGGATCCTCCCGCTCTGCAGCAGCCGCTCTGTCCCGGCGCGGAGACCCGCAACAAGTTTCTTTAAACTGGAGCTGAAGCCCCCGCCCAGCTAAACACCGATTGGCCGGCGCCTCGTATGGGGCGGGGCTTGATCATCTCCCCGCCCCCAGGGACCCCCCCACAGCCCCGCCCCGCTGGTGCACCACGTGGGACCTGGAGCAGAGTACCCCGGCGGGCAGGAGAGGGCGGCGGGGTCTCTGTTCTCTGACCTCTGATGCGCGTCCCGAGATTCAACATCCTAGCGCATTCCGGAGGCGCAGGGCCGACGGCTGCTCCAGGTGACATACACCCGGGGCCGCAGCTCCAGCTGCGGGACCTGGGTCACCGCAGTGCCTGGGACAGCGCCGGGGGTGCGGCCGCCGCAGGGGCGGGAGGTTGGGCGGGCCGCGGCTCTGGGCCCCTGGGGCCGGGGCGGATGGCGTGGCCGGACGCGGAGGCCCAGGGCCTTCCGGACCTGACCCCCAGGGTTGGGGCGAAGGCACTCGCGGGCAGTTCTGGGTGGTCCGGCGGAGGCGGGGGCTGGGGTGGGCCGCCGCTCTTGGGGCGCTGGAGAGGAGGGAACGGGGCAGGGTGTAGCAGGGTCGGAGAGGGGACATTTCCCCCGGGCCACCCCCGATCCGAGGCTCCGAGGTCGTCCCCACTATCTGGCCTTGGGCGGCAGTCCCTGAGGGCGGCTCAGATTCTTTGGCCTAAGGCGCAGGAGGAGGCAGATCCTGTCACCCCAAACTGTGTTGTCCCTTCGTAAGGCTGCCTACGCAGGAGCTTCAAGCTTGTGGCCTGCAAGACCCAACTGACCTTATAGGAAGCTGCCTGGTTCCAGACCAGGCAGCCCCTGGCCGTGGACTCCGGAGTGGCCACTGCAGCTGCAATGACAGGCTCTCCTGCACCTGCAGCAGAAGAGGGTGATCTGTTATTACCAGAAAAGTCCAAAGGAAAGCCTACAGACCTCTGGAAGCCTCACTCAAGCCTTCTCAAGCAAGGTCACCTGGTGCCTCCTACCACCACTGCAGTCCAGCAGGAGTGATGCCCTAGTGACCATCCCAGCCTCCGCCAGTCTAGGCAACAGGCCTTGGCCCTGAGACCTCTAGGTCTGTCCTTCAGTCCTAAGTGACCCCCCGCCCCCCGCAAGAGGATCCAGGAGCACACTACTATTGAGCTACATCTCCAGGCCTATTTATTTTGAAACAAGGTCTTGTTAAGTGACCTGAGCTGGCTTGGAACTTTCAGTCCTTCTACTTCAGCCTCCCTAGTAGCTGGACTTACAGGTGTGTGCCACTACACCTGGCTCTGAGGCCTGTTCTGTGGAATGGGCCAGTGTCACGCCTGGAGGTAGAGTGGCAAGGGGACGCTTACAGTCTGTGTGCTGCAGAGGGAGGGATCTGGTACCTGGGTTGCCAGGCTTCCTGCCAAGGTGATAGGTAATGAGGTGCTTTTTCCCTCCTTGTCCAACTCAGAGGGAAGTACCATCCTATGCCGAGGGCTGCCCTGTATATACTGGGGCTCCTTCTGAGTGCCAAGGGTGGGGAGTAGTGGCCACCCAAATAGGCAGACCTCTCTCTTCCCCATCTCCTCCCCCTCCCCTCTCCTCCCTTCCTTCTGTCTCCTTTTGTTGTCATCTGCCAAGACACCCACCCACCCACCCCCCAAACACACACACCAGGCTGGATGGCTGTCTTTCCCTTTGGAGGCTTTTCCACTCAGGGCCCTACCTCACTTTTCCAGAGTCTTGGAAGCCAGTCAAGGGGTGAAGAAACAGGGTGGATAAGGGGAATGCAGTCTGGGGCACCTGTAGAACCTACTGTCAGACAGGATCCCAGCAGGCCATAGCAGGTGTATGGTGGAGGTACTGAGGATAGGGATGCGCTCTATCCTGGCCTAGGGCTCAGAGCCTACCCTCCCTGGGCCTGGATGCCCCCAGAGCTGCAGGTCTTAATGGGATGTCTTCTTTGCCAAGAAAGGACAAAGTAAGGTTTCCCTTGGCTATGCCAGGCTGGCAGGGCAGTCTCTTCTTGACCCCCTGCCCACCCAAGACACATCACACACCCTAGGATGCAGATGAGGTAACTACTGAGACCCTTGAAGGAAAGGAGGTTCAGCTCGGGAATCCAATTTAGGCTTGGGTCACAGTGCCAACCCTAGCCCGTACTTTCCTGAGCAGCAGGGCCCCCAGGGCATTGGTGGGGAAGGTGTGGTGGGTAGCTCCTATCACACATGGGCAGGCCACCATCAAATGGTGGAAGGGCTTGGCCCTGCCTGGCCAGCAGTCCTCATGTGCTCTTCCACAGGGCAGGTATGAGCTTGGGGCCCAGCATTCCTCACCCCCATGGGATCAGAATTCAAGCTGTCCAGCCCAGTGCAAGCTGCTGGCTGTCAGGTGGTTTGGTGCCCCAATCCCCCTGCAGGGCCCACCTCTGGGCTGCCATAAGTCCTCAGGAAAATGCCAGTACTCTGGCCCTTGTCCTGCATCAGTACTGATCTTGGTTCTTGTCCTTAGCCAGGAGGTCCCTGGGGGACACAGGATTTGACTTCCATAGAGAGAGATGTCTCAGGTGGGTTCATATGTTTCCCGATACTCATTAACTGTAGCTTTGTGCCAGAGCTTTTCTAGGGGACATGGTCAGGACCACACCATGTAGTCCCTGTCCTGAAGAGGCTGGCCTTGAGGCAAGGGAAGCAAACAGCCCTTTCTAGAGACTGAGATGTTCCTCTCAGGGGACTGTAGGAAGGGTGACCAGAGAAGGCCTGAAAAAGTTTTCAACTTTGAGAAAAAATTGTTTCCTGGTGTGGGCAGCATGTGTAAAGGTCCTGAGGCAATAGAGAACACAAGGCATGTGAGAACAAAGAGTCACAGTAACTTAAAACTTGAGGGGAACTCTTGAAGTTCTTCTCAGTTCACCTTATGGACCACATATCCTTGTCTCAGTGTAGACCTCCTTCCCTCTTAGCTCTTCCATCCTGCGCCCAAGCTTTTTAACTGGTACTAGACCCACCCATGTCCTAGTGGCCTCATCCCAATACACAGGATCTCACCATCATCTGGTAGGCTTTGCAGTTTCAGAGTGAGAGTCTGACTGGGTGAACTTGGACCTAGTACCCACCCCTGGACCAGTGGCCATGGGGCCTGGAAAGGCTGATACATGCAAGGTTGCTAGACACACCCCATGGCAGAATTCCAAGGGTACCTCTAAGAAGGGGCCTGACATGAGGCTACTCCTGGCCAATAGGTTTTTTCCTGATCCTTCACCTGTCTTCTAGGGTTGTGGTCCAGGAAGCTCTGTGTGTTGGGGCTGGAGAGGCTACTGAAGGCTCCATGCCCTTGTGGAAGAGGTTACCCTACTGTCCTGTGCCATCCTGTCTTTCCCCATCAGTTAGCCTGCCACCTCTAACAAGAGCCGAGGGAGGCTGCATCCAGACTGTGTGCCATCGTTAAGAGAGAAGCATCAGGGGAGGGCCATGTGTCCCTCTGTCCACAGCCCTGGCCCGGGCCCCCTCATCCCCTGTGTGAAGAGTGACCTATGAGGCAGTTGGCATTCCGTTCCAGCATACCCTTGGAGAGTAATTGGTCCTTTTAATTACTGGCTTGTCTGGCAGAAACAGTGGGGGGTAGAAGGACAGAGGAGGGTGAACCATTCAGAGCATCAGTTCCTAAACTCAGCCTACCCTGCCCCACTGGTCCCAGACAGGGAGGAAAGGGGCTCTGAGGGCTCTGCTTGGTACCCCTAGGAGACTGACCTCCTGGTAGCAGCACTCAGAGCGCTGGACCAAACATTTTGCCACCTGACCCCCTTAATTTAGCAGTCTCTGGGTTGCTGACAGTGTCAACTGGAGTGGGAGTTCTGTGTGAGGTCAAAGCCAGCCCCTGGTTGAGCTGAGGTGTGCTCTAGCACTGGGGATGTCTGTTCCTCTCCCTTCCACAAATGAGGTGGGTGATGGAAAGCCGCCCCACATTCCCATCTCTTAGCCCTACAGGAGCAGAGTTTTCTGAGTGTCCTATGGCTGGAGCTGATCTGCCTGCAGCTGGTTCCTGCCTCATGTTATGCTGGGAGCACTGGCATCTTCAGGGTGCTGCCACCTCCAGGGAGAGATGAGCATACTCTGCCCCTCTGCCTGATGCCCCAGAATGATCCATACTGCCTGGAAGTGACCGCTGACCACCAAGTGGGACCTCCCTGTGAGTGCTGTTCTCAGTCTGAAAGGACTCCAGGGTGATGGCAGTGCCTAACCCAAAGAATGGAGGGGACCCAGTGTTCATTTTGTCCCCAGTGACAGGTGCGTACAGGGATCACAGATGTGTTGGGGACAGCTGTGGTTTCTGCTGCTCACTGTCCATCACTCCTTGCTGCTAGTGGGGCCCTGAGCTTCCTGTTATGGCCCATCCATCTGTCCACCCAGTTAGGACTCTGGACTGCACTCCACTGACCTAACGTCCCCACCCCTATCTGCTGGTGAGGTATTTGTGCCTTGTACTGGAAGATTTGTCTTTTCTGTCAGTAGACACCAGGACTCAAACCTCTCTTCAGATCCTTGTTCCCTAGACCTTTGTTCCATTTCAGGCCCTGGCTTCCCTGATCCAGTCCCAGCCCACCGTGGCCATTGCCCGTTCACCATCACTGGCTCTGTGCCAAGTTCGTCCTTTGAGTGCTGAGCTCTGCTGGAAACAAGGTAAGGGCTCAGGAGAAGCGATGTCCACCACGGGCAGGAGGAGCACCAGACACCATTGGGGTTCTCACTTGCCCGAGAAGAGCAGCCTTTTGAGCCTCTTAGCTGCCAGACCTGTGTTCTATCCTTCTGCACTGGACAGGCACATCTGACAAGGCTTCTTGCCCATGATGTCCACATCTAAAACCCCCAAGTGGATCCCTTTTTCAAGAATAGTCAAGGCAGATGGTGACTTGAAATAAACATATCACAGAAAAATCCCCTTTCTGTAAGAAGGGTTCCAGCTGGCTCTGGCCCTGACCTCTTCTGCTGTGACAGAAGGT